CTTTCACTCTTGCTGCGGCTCCAGGGGTTCGGCGGTGCGGCGTTAGCCAATGAATCAGTAGTAGGAAGTACGTGTGGGTAGCACGCGTAGTAAAAATGACTGTTGGAACAGTAGTAGTATGAGTAGCAGTAGGATCAGAAATGTGACAGTAGTAGTATCAGTAGTAGTAGTAGTAGTAGTAGTAGCAGTAATAGTAGTAGTAATAGTGGTAGTATTCGTAATGATAGTCGTAGTTGTAGTAGTAGTAGTAGTAGTCGTCGTCGTCGTCGCAGTAGTAGTAGTAGTGGTAGTAGTAGTAGTAGTAGTAATAGTAGTAGTAGTAGTAGTACTAGTAATGGTACTAGTAGTAATAGTAGCCGTCGTAACAAAGTCGTAGTGGTAGTAGCCGTCGTAGCAATAATAATGGTAGAAATAGTCGTCGTACTGTTAGTAGTAATAGTAGTAGTAATCGTAGCAATCAAAATAGTAGTAGTAGTAGTGGTAGTAGTAGTAGCTGTAAGAGTAGTAGTAGCACTAGTCAACTGATCGCAGTAGTACTAATAGCAATTATAGTCGTGGTAGTAGTACTGGTACTGGTAGCAGTAATGCCAGGAGTAGTGGTACTAGTACTACTAGTAGTAGTTCTAGTAGTAGTAGTAGTACTACTACTACTACGACTACGACTACGACTACGACTACTTCTACTACTACTAGTAGTAGTACTACTACTACTACTACTACTACTACTACTGGCTCAAGAAGAATGGTCGCAGTAACCGAAGTAGTGGTAATAGTAGTAGTAATAGTAGTGTAACACGACATCGCAATAGCCGTAGTCGTAGTAGCCGGAATAAGGATCGCAGTAATCGTGATAGCCGTACTCTGTGAAATCATACCATCACCAGTCGTAGCGTCAGTACGGAGAGTATGCACAGTAGTAGTACTAGTACAACTACTACTATTACCCACAACCGTAGTCATACTAGTTCGTAGTATATTGTAGATCGTAGTAAGTCGTAACCTTCGTAGTTAGTAGGTTGGGGCAGTGGTACTATTAGTAGTCGTCGTCGTGGTCGTCGAAAGAGTCGTCATTGAAATGGGAGTTGCAATGGTGGTAGTGGTAGTAGTCGTTTTAGTAGTGGTAATGGTTGTGGAGAAGTGCGACTCGTAGTAGTTGGAGTAGTAGTAGTAGTAGTAGTAATAGTAGTAGTAGTAGTCGTAGTAGTAGTCGTAGTAGTAGTAGTAGTAGTAGTAGTAGTACGCGTAGTAGTAGTAGTAGTACTGATACTAATAGTATACCATAAATAGCCCGAGTCGCAGCCAGCATTCGTAGTCATACTCGTAAACGCAATCGCAGTTGTAGCCGTAGTAAGTGTAATAGTAACTAGTAGCCACTAGGTAGTAGCTGGTGATGGTAGCTCGTAGATCGTAGGAGTACGACTAAACTGAAAATAGTAGTACTCGTAGCACTATTAGTCGTTGTAGTAGTCGTAGCAGTAGCAGTAGTAGTAGTAGTAGTAGTAGTAGTAGTAGTAGTAGCAGTAGTAGTAGTAGTAGTAGTAGCAGTAGTAGTAGTAGTAGTCGTAGTAGTAGTAGTAGTGGTCGTCGTAGTACAACTAGTACTCGCTGCATCAAGACAGATGGCGTTAGTGGCGCTGATAACGTTACAAACCGTAACTGTCGTAGTGCTAGTCGTACTCGTAGTAGCGATCGTAGTAGCAGTGGTAGTAGTGGTAGGTGACAAGTAGTACTAGCAGTAGTAGTAGTAGCAGGACTGCAGGTAGTAGTCGTAGTAGCAGTAGTAGTGGAAGTAATAGTGTAGCCCTGGAGGAGTAGAAGTAGTAGTAGTAGTAATAGTAGTAGTAGTAGTAAAAGTGGTAGTAGTTGTAGTAGCAGTAGTAGTAGTGGTAGTATTAGTAGTCGTAGTTGTGATAGCAGTAGTAGTAGTACTACTTTTCCAACTACTACTAACAGTAATATCAATAGCAATCGTAGTGGAATTAGTGGTCGTAGTATGGTTTTAGTACTAGTGGCAGTACTAGTAGCAGTGGCAAAACCAATAGTAGTGGTAGTAATAGTAGTAGTAGTGGTCGTAGTAGTACTAGTCGTAGTAGTAGTAGTCGTAGTAGTAGTAGTAGTAGTAGTAGTGGTAGATGTAGTAGTAGTAGTAGTAGTAGGAGGAGGAGCAGTAATAGTAATCGTAACAGTCGCAGTGGTAGTAGTGGCGGCAGTAGTAGTAGTACTAGTAGCAGTGGTAGTAGTAGTAGTAGTAGTAGTGGTAGTAGTAGTAGTTGT